TAATAAAAGAACTATTTAAATGAAAAACTATTCAACCTCGTTCAGATACATAAATATTATGGGTGCGTTCCGATATTCACTGGCAGTACTGGCAGCATTGCAAATGCTGTTCCGATGTATCTCGCAGAAAACTTTTAGAGTGCCTTTGCGTGCATGTGATGTCATAGATTTTGTCGTAACGTCCTGCTTTCATTACTGCGACTGGCGACGTGAGGCAGTTGCAGTAAAAACATGGCGACGTCCATAGAAAAACTCACGCTTATAGACGCAGAAACAAATAACGATTACAAAATTTTCATTTAAGTAGTGAGGATGCGGAAAAAGCACGAACAGGTAAAAATGCAATTACTAATCTCGATGTTTTCATAAATATGAATACTGTCTATGTTTCTTTTATAGATTAATAATCAAACAATACAAGTTCTAAGTTTCTGGCGCTATTCATTTATAACGCGATATCTAAATTATCGATGATATTTGAAATCTGTTTGCGCAGTAATTAAAACTTAAAAATGGACTAAACTAATACAATTGTTAAAAATCCATTATTTATCAATTATTTATCGGAGGACGATAACCTACGATAATCCACCTGCTTGGCAATTGTTATTTAACATTAATAAATCAAACGGAACAAGTCTTAAATCTCTCGCGCTATCCATTTGTTTATATAACGCGATATCTAACAATTAACCATGATATTTAAAATCTGTTTGCGCAGTAATTGTTAATTAAAAATTAAAACTGAACTAAACTATTGAATTATTTAAAATTCATTAATTAACAATTGCGTGAAGATAACGACGATCTATCTGCCTGGTAATTGTTATTTAACGTTAATAAATCACACAAAAGAAGTTCTAAGCCTTTTCCGCTATCTATTTGTTTATAACGTGATGTTTAACAAGTTAATGACAATTTTTGAGATCTGTCTATGCAGTAATTGTTAACTTAAACAAAAACTCCTTTTAAAAAAAAAACAAATTTACGCCGAGTAAAAAAGTATTGTATGTATTACATCTTTCCTGAACTAAAAATATTTTTTTAACAAATAAAATATAAAACCAAATATATTTTTACAATATTATATTTTCTAAAAAAAATTTATTAAGATAGTCCGATATTTGAGAAAATATGCAAATGGTCAAGTTTTTAAATTTTGCTGTACTGTTGCTTAAACAAGCAAAAAAATAGCACTATACAACTTGTGAATACATCACATGCTATCAATAAACATAAATGTAATTACAAATGTAGATATATAAAATTATCAATAATATATATTTGTTTTTATATGTTTAACCTATATACATAATTATAAAATTTTATTCATATTACTTCATATTTTTAACTTGTCGAAAATGCATTTGGAATTTTACGTTTGTATATAAAAATACAACATTTTCAACACAATTTTTGCAATATAGGTGGCATTTGATTTACATTTTCGATTACTTTTATCTTCTTGGCATATTTCGTTCATTGTCTGACAATCGCTGTTTGTTTCCAATAATTCTATATAAACATCTAGCAAGCTTAGATATGCCATGACTATTTTTATATTATCAATAATTTCAATTCTTGCTAATACACAGGACATATTTTAAAATTGCTAGTAGATATAAACAACAATACTGTGGATATCGTTTCGTTATTCTATCGCTATGTACGGAAAAATCAGCCTCAGTAATAAC